TAATGACATACCCGGTGACACCGGGACTCAGGACTCTGAAGGATACTAGGAATGCTGTAACGCTGTAGTGTTTGTGCTTTGGCCAGGGAGGACAAGTGGGAAGTCGTAAGCTAGAGCGACCCCAGAGAGAAGTCTGACTGGAGACGCTCCCCGTTCTCACGTGGAGACGCCAAGTGGCTGCTCCTAAGATCTGTCTGCTTCCCCCGGCTCCAACCTACTGAAATATATTCTTTCTTAACCGGAGGCCCCAGGGCGGAATGTAACATCTTGTAATGTGGCAATCACTGCCAAACCCGTCCCCGCTAGGGGAACTCCTGCTGGGGCGCGAGGGGCGGGAGGGGGGCTTCGGAGGGGTGTGGGCCTCCACATCCCATCTGCACTAGGGTGTGTTTGTGTGATGTGGGCTGGAGATTGCTCTCCAGACAGATCCCAGGAGAGGACAGAGGACTCGCTGTGAGGAGGTCTTCTTAGAGCTGATTTGGGTGTCTTGGCACTGAGAGACAGCTAGTTAGGGAAAGCCTAGTCCCAAAGCTAGGACCTCGCTGTAATGGTCCCGAGTCGAGAGCCACACTCAACTGCTTCGGAGACCCCGACTCCAACGTGGAATAAGAAGGGAGTGTCTGTGTTCATTTCAGGAAAAGATCGGTAGTTTGAATCTCAAAAATCTGACCCCAAATAGGCTAAAGCCACTGGCGGTCGCTGTTTCCCTGGAGGCAAAAGGGCGGGCTGGAGGCTTTTGAGCAAGTGCTGGTGGTATCTGGACCTGAGCCGTTGCTCTCGGGTTATGTATGTACTGTCCTGTCTTTTTGAAAGGCAAAGGGGGCTTTTTGCAATTCCAGGAGTTGGGAAGAAGGTTCCCAGGCGGGAAGATCCAACGCTGCTTAGCTTTAGCTCTTCCTTTTCTATACTCCCTTTCTTTCTTTCTTTCTTTCTTTCTTTCTTTCTTTCTTTCTTTCTTTCTTTCTGCCCCTTGTGCCTAAGAACTGTTTGTAAACAAAGTTCCAACCTTCTGCGGCTCTCTCCGCCCCCAGTAACCCTGATACTTCCCCCAAACTTGCCCCACCAGTCTCGGAAATCCTTACTAGGCTCGGGTATTCACAATTTTCACAAGTGTTCCTGAAAGCAGGCCGAAGGGGAAGCCTTCTAAGCGCTCCCATATTGCAACCCTGGGATGCTTAGGCTCTTTTTTCTGCCTTTCAGAAAATTTGGGGTGGCCGGAGGGGTTTCTATGCAAAGACCAGTTGGCCCGCCTTGTCTGCACTTCTAAACTGGGCGCTCCAGGAGCGTCCAGCTTAGGAGTGGAGCCGGAGGGCGCGGGATCTCCAGCCCGCCGGCGGCTGGCTCTAAAGAATTCAGTACCTTCACTTTTGCCTGAGTATGGGCATGCCGGGAGCCCCTCTGGGGTGTGGAGTGGGGAAGACCCGGCACCCCTTAGTTCCCACCCCGACCCCGTTTCCTATTTCTTGTCATATCCTGTGTCTGGTCTGATATTTTGCACGACTAAATGGAAGCGGATTACAATGAAGATTTATGTGTGCTCCGAGAGCGGCTGTTTTCCCAGTGCAGGGAGCCGAAATCTCTGCTTCCCATTTCCATTTTTCATTCCCGCTTTTAGGGAGCGCAACTTAGCGCGCGAGGGGGGCTTGTGGTAGCGTCTGCGATTCGGCGGCTGATCACAGGGCTTGGCGTCTCCGGGCGGGCCCCCAGACTGTGAGAAAGGTTTGCCAGCGCGTAGCCCCCGGCGGGGCTGGAGCCGGCCCCCACCTCCCGGAGCCCGTCTTTGTCTTTCCCCCTAGACACCCCCGCCCCCTCACTTCTAGAACACGGGTGCATCCTTGCGACCTCTTTGGCCCTTCTTCTTGTTCACAGGAACGCCCCCTTCCCCCTGGTCCCTGCACCCTCCTTTGCCCGCTGCCGGGCGAAAGGCGCGTCTTGGCCCTGTACGACCCCGCCGCCGCCGAGCCAGGTTCGGTGACTCCGGCGAGTCTGTGGGGCCTCGGCCCACCCCGGAGAGGGGCCGCCCGCCCTCCCGGCTCCCAGGCTCGGCTCATGCCAAGGCCTGTTGCGTGATTCCAACTTGGGCTGACATTCCCTGCCCGGGGCGCTCCGGCGTAGGCCTCTTAATCATCTTGTCTGCTGCAGATCCTCGACACCAGCCAATTTACTGCCCCGTCTTTCCCGGCTGGTTTCAGGAGCCGGGGAGGGGAGTGCGCGCAAAGGAGGGGAGGGCATAACCCCAGGAGAAAGACTGGTACCAGTTATTGGCGCGCATAGGGATGGACACACACACACACACACACACACACACACACACACACTCACACACACGAATTTGGAAGTGGGGGAGGGCAGGGGGTGGTTAAGAGATGGGGTTTTGATAGGCAGTAGTTACATAGGGCAGTTCAAAAATCCATTCTCAATTGTTCAGCCTCCTCATTTTCAGTGCTCATCCAGGGTCACTCTGAGCAGGCCCCAAAGCAATTTGATCAGAAAAGTCAGTATTCCCTCCAGGATGGTGCTACCAAGTAGTCCAGAAAGTCACCTCCATTTCACTGCTGCCTCCATGCCCCCGACTAAACATGAGTTGAAGATACAGGGATGACCCACCTACACTGGAGGAGAGGAGGCCCGAATTTGGCAAGCAGGATTCCCTGGTCTGGACCCTATTTCCTCTCCAGTAGAGGCTGATCTCTTGGAGGGAATGGCACAAGTTCAAGCCCCTTGTAGAGCCTTCATAGCCCCAACTCTTCTACTCAAAGCAAAATAGAAACCGTATTTCATAAATAAAGCCCTTCCGATTTGGAGCATTGTGATAAAAGCAGTAATGGTAGCTACGAAATAGCCAAAATGTATCTAGTGCTTATCACATGCCAGGCGTTGTTACATCATTGCCTCATTAAGGGTTCATTAAGTTGCTCACTATTCTGAGCCGTGGCTGTTATTATTTCTCTTATCTTAGAGATCTGCAAACGGCATCACAGAGAGGCTAAGAGGGTTGCCCAAGGTCACATAGTCAGTGGTTGACGCCGAGGGAGCTTCCAACTACAGATTCCAGAGCTTTGAGTGAAACAGGTTTGTAGTTTAGACCTGCATTACACATTTATCCTTGATTCTTGCAGGGAATGCCAGAAAGCAGGGTCGTTTCCAAAGCTGGGAGCTGGTCCTGTGAGGCCAGTGGTGTGAAGTAGAGTTGAGTATTGTGTGGAACTTTGCCTTTCAAGAGTGTGAGGTGCAAGAACGCCACTCCACAACAACGTGCGTCCTCTCTGCCGCTGTGAATGCATTTGTGTGTTTGTGCATTTGTGTCAGTACGTGTAACAAGAGTGTGTTTGAGAGCATGAGCATGTGTGTACCAGCGCAGCACTGTACACAGGGATTGCCCAGCATTCCAAAGCAGCCAACCGTGTTTCACGAGGGTGACTCACTGAGTTCTGGGATCAGCCAGCTCCCAAAGGGCCTCGGGGGCAAATGGAGGGAGGGACCATTGTAGGAGTTTGATCCCAGACTGTTGCAGAGCTTAGGTCCCGGACAGCAGGTCGCCCGCGGCGGCTCGGGG